AATCACGGTCCGTTCGCGTAATGTTACAATCGTTGCCGGATTGTTGTGACGACCTTATAAACCAATACAAGGGGGGACAACGGAGGGCCCACTGCATGGACGATAATTCAAACACGTTTGGTGGGGATATGAATTATTGGGAAATGTGTACCAAAGCAATTCATTTGACTTGTCAATATGTGAAGCTAAACTTTGGATTTTTAAATTCAAATCAAATGATAAAATATTGGTGTATGTCCCACATTGATTTGATGGAAAAAATGCATTTTTAGATAAAAATGGGGACCAAACATAGGCATAATAATTAAATAATTGTGATAATGGTCTACGTAAAATTATAATAGGACTCTTAATTAGAATTTAAATTGGACTTTAATAAAAGATATTATTAAAGAGAATTCTAACTATATGAGGATAAGATTCTAATATATATATATATATATATATATATATATATTCATAGCCCTAGCCCATTCCCATTTTGTCGGAACAGATCTACTAATTCTTTGATTCCAGTTAGTAAGAAGGATCTTGAACTAAGAAATAGACCCTCATAATTCAATAGATACTTTTTATGTATGTCAACTAAGTATCGTAAGTAAATTGCTCCCAAGCAGCTCCTCTCGCGGTAGAAGAACAGACAAAAGATATGGTAGAGCTAGGACAGTTATTGTATGAGGTCTACCCAATGCTAGGTCTAGATATTGTACAAATACTTTCTATTACTCTATTTATTTTAGTATCTTAGCCAAATTAAAATTTTTTAGAAGTTCATTATATTTAATCAATAAAATTCTCTCTTTTACCAGAGAAGCCTATGTATGAACAAGGATTAATTTTACTTCTCCATCTAGCTAAACTCTTATTTTCAAGGTATAAATATGTTAAAATTCTAAATTTATCTAACCACTTCTATATCAAATAATCTGATAATAATTCAATAGATATCCAAATATCAAATTGTAATTTCGTTAAAACTCGTATTTTCAATCATTAGGAATATTAGCACAGAGTCCCTGTTCAGCGGTAAAGTCGATAAGTTTTCTAGGTATAGTGGTGGTTGTATGGATGGTTGTGTGGGGAATGGAGTAAACAAGCGGAATGGCGATTGCATGTAACGATGGAGAAAAGAAGACATTAGTTAAACAACATCATCTTACGGTCCATACGACATCAATATGATGGCATAGTAACGCCTTACGAACAATGTTGCAGCTTTCCCCCTTTCAAAATATCGAAAGGATTTAGTTGAAAGATAATCCGTCTAAGCAAAAATGACTAGAAATTCAATTGAAATAACATTCGAACAAGTCAATCGATGGAATGTGTGAATAAAATATATGTTTGATGGCCTTTAAACCAAAACAATTTATTTTTCATACTCATTTTCAACTATACATTTATATAATAAAATTGTGGTACTTATTAATAAACGGGCTTTAAGCTGCCGAATTCATCTTTGCTCTTGGGGCAATGTAGACCAAAATTTAAGGTTCAGATCCCTTAATTTGAAAACAAAGAACCTTTAAGATCTGAAGAAGTCATTAATTGTTTTGAATCAAATAAGTGACCGCAAGCCATGAGAAAAGAGATGGTTTCTTTAATAAAGACAATGACTTGGCGAAGCAGGAAGAAAACACAAATAATGATAAAAGGGTCCTGTTCATAACTCACAAACGATTATTGCTAGAATTTGGCTTGAACGGACATGAGAAATGCTGAAATCCACCAGAAAACAAAAACTGTAATATTATTAATAAAGGAAAAGGTGATTATATGCTTTTCAAACATACCCTTAACATATATTTAAAATATATCAAATGAAACCCTAATTCAGTAGACGAATTCAAATAGAACTAGGAAAACTGCAAAATAAATCCGAATAGAGTTAGGAAACTACAAAAATGATGAAAATACCCTTAAACTAATTCAAAGCTCAAAAAAGAAAGAAAAAACGAAAAAAAGGTCTCTAAACGATGAAATTTGACCCCTAAAAGTTTGATGATGATGATGACTTTTGGCCCACATAATTCAATACGTTACAACCCTATTTATGCATGTTAACAAGTAAATTATCCAACTTAACTAGTAATCTCTTTCGAGTAAAACTGGCCCCAGTTACATGGAAAAATTAACTATATCTATTGATTTCTTGTCAAAATTTATGTCACTTATTACACGATCTAGGCTTGCATATAACCTCTCGGTATCCATATAGTCCCTAATTAAGTTGATCAACGGATGATCTAGCAATGGCATTTCTTTCAAAATCTGACCGTCCTATCTTCACTCACCCGAATACTCACCTCGTAAGTTTCTTCGTTGGCCTCTGTAAGTTCATCAATGGCCTGATCTCTTTCTGCCTCAGCAACACCTAATTGTTCCCAAGTCCTACGGAGCTCTACCTCCAACTCCCCCTTCTGTTTCTCCATTGATAGAGCCCGATTACTCCCATTCTACATCAAAATCAAAACCCCACAAATCCCATCATCAAAATCAAACAAAAGCTAAAATTAAACAAAAAACATACAAAAATGGAAAACCGTATAATCCAAAATGGTTGACACTTTTGAAGACTTTCTTTCAGCAATTTTGAGGGCATTAGAATCAATTTAGAAGCCGAATAAGTGTACATTATGCCAAAAACTTGCAAAGTTTCCCAAAAAAATAATAATTTTGTACAAAGTTTATAGGGTTTGACACGGTCTTGGACCAACAACCATTACCTACGAAATTGCTTTGATTAGTAAATATTTCTTAAACGGGAGCATTACCTTCAATTTCTAATTTTGACATTTGTTTCCATTAATTAACATAAACACTGACAAATGTTTTCCTCTGCTTTTCTTCGTAATAATAATTTCGATAGAGACAGCTATTGCCCATTAGCCTAATTATAATTCAACAGTAATATAAATAGGATATTTTTAATATGATGCATGTGCTCTAAATGACTCTCGACCTATTTCAAAAGTTCATGTAATCTCAGTATGTCACTTATTAGGTGATAAAATCATTTATTTCATAATTTACACATGCTTATGTATATAAGGTAACTATTTCACATCTAAACAATTGGGTTTGTTTGACAACCATTATTTCAAAACTTTTTTTTCTACATACTCATTTTCAACCACACATTTACACAATAAAATATTCTGCACATAAATTCAAAATTTTTCCCAACTTTTTAACCACACGCTCTCCAAAAAATTACTATTCAAAACTCCATTTTACCAGAATAATAATTGTCAAACAGGGGTTTAATTCCAATCGTGTTAATTCTTATAATCTTGAGATAATTAAATGCAGTAAGTTTGATTATTCCTATCTGGTCATAATATGTAGAACTACATTGTTGATAAAATTGCAGACCATAATCCATTGTCGGTCATTGACAATTCACCTACTTTGTTTTATTCTTTAACATTTGAGCCATCATACTTCAGTTTCTAGTACAAATGGTTCTTTGGAATGATTTCCATCGAAAACAGGTACTAGAAGAATAATGCTGCTTGAAATAAGCAAACAATAAAAAAAAAAAAATATATATATACACCGCTAGCTCTTCCTCCAAACACAGAAAATCCCTGTCAGCTCTAACTATCAAACCCAACATTCAAAGTAAGCGTTTGTTTAGGGAAAGGGGCAAAAGAGGTGGAGGGCATGACACGAGGGGTTTGACGTCATAAGAAAGATTCGAGGTGATGACGGAGAATGTGGAGGGATTTAATTGCTGCATGGAAGCGACAACGAAGTTCGAGGGGTCAGGAGTTAGATCGGTGAAGGATGCTTAGCATCGTATACATTTACTAATTCAGATATACGAAAATATATTGAGGTCACAGATTTCACACAAAGTTGCAGTAGATCAGAATCAAGAATTTAAACATGAAATTCAACTTAAAAGTATTTTTTAATTTATAAGTAATCTTTTACATAAAAGTAAGTTTTTATCTTATAAATAGTAATATTATAAGTAAATCTTTTTATTACTGTATGTTTTTTATTTATAGTCAGTTTTTCACGTATAATAGAATTTTTGTCTCGAAAATAATTATTTTAGAGAGACAAAAAATTGAAAACCCATCAAATACTTTAGATTTGATGAGTTGAGAAATACGACCAAAATTGCCCTACACTAATTTTGGATAATTTTCCAAAATCAGTGCTCAGAAAACTAACAAGCACAGATATTTTCCACCTCTCATAAACGTTACTAGCCAGAACCAGTCAAAAATAGTTTTAAAAAATAATAATAACAAGACTCCTATGCAGGTCCTTAGTCTTGATAGACAGTAAGTATTAGTTTAAACAAAATCAGAATACCCAGGCACCTTTACTAACATGCCAACAGTAGGTTTAAAGTTGTCAAAAGTCAACTTAAATAGGCTTCTATTGCGCATGGAGATACTGAACCATACACATCCAATCTCGTTCAGATGATTTGGCATTCTTATAGTCGATCCAAATTAACGGAGACTACGACACAGCAAACTCACAGCTTTAGATGAGACACGCTCAATGGTTCTAAAGACGTTCACTATGCTGATCTGATTAGCACCTGTGCAAACAATAGGGGGGAAAATGTGGACAATTTGCGTGTACAGTGCAGTTCGGAACTAGATAGCAAACATGACCGTAAACCTCAACTGACAGAGCCATCAAGGCTTTAATTCCCATGCACAACTCGAATGCATAAAAGGAATATACCAAAGAGGCACATGCAAATAATTCAGATTTTCAAAGATTTTAGTTCATCAACCCTCAACAAATTCGTAACAGAGCAAATATAAATTACACCAAGCAAATAAGCCCCTGTTTGGTGGCCTCAAAATTTAAAAAACTTAGTTTTGAATAGTATTTTTTGGAGAATGTGTGGTTAAAAAGTAGGAAAAAATTATAAGCTTAAGTGCAGAATATTTTATTTTATGAATGTGTGGTTGAACATAAGAATGAGAAATAAATTAAATCAAATTAAAGGTTTTCAAACGGGGGCATACCAGAAACAAAGTCACTACATTATATGCAAATAGAGAATTGCTTACTATGAGAATCAACTTTTCCATTCCAATGAGTCATCTTCCATTGCAGCACATAACGAACAACTAACAGTAACTATTAAAGCTGAATAGTGTCTAGCATCTATGTACTGCTACTTAACAAAGAACAAATTACCACCGCCACTAACCACCACCACCACACATCTTGCCTGCTGACCTTTGATTCTGCAAGCCAGTTGAATGTCTTCGGGCATAAGTTTCACGCACTTGACATGAATGACACACAGGTTGGTGTCCTCAAAAGGACCCACAAGGTATGACAGCAGCCTCCTGAAGTGCTGAAACAGCATGGCTTTGGAAAAGCAGATCATTCTGCACCACAGACACAAGCAATCAAATGGCATAAATCAGAAATCCCAAACGGAAAACCATAATGTATACTATTTCAAAAGCAATCAAATGGCATGAGCAATGTTCTGTATCACTGATTTTTTTAAGTCCCGAGCAAGCCTCTGAAATGGCGACTTCCTGATCAAGAAAATGAAGTACAACCTTGAACCAAGATTGCAGCCTCCTCACCCCCATGTAATCTCCCAAAACCTGGAATTTTCTGTGTTTTTGCTCTCGATAATATGTAATTTGCCAACCATAATAATGTTTTGAAGTTGGGTACTTTATAGTTCGAGACTTGTTCCAATAAAAAAACACGGAAAATTCAAGGTTCTGGGAGATTTCAAGGAAGGAGAGTTCAAGCTTGGTTCAGTATTTTTATTCTATTCTTTCTATCGAACACGGTGATGTAATTGCTTTAAGAGTAATGTTTTCGTTTTACACCTTGTGTTTTGTTACGATGATTTATGGCTAAATTAGTAGTTAGGACAAACAGTGTAGCTTTCAGCTAAACCTTTGATTTTAACTCTTAAATACATGGTTTTTATTTGTTAAAGTGTATCGTTTTTAAAATTTTGCTTAATACTTGTAATTCTATGATCAACTGTTTGATTTGAAAATGGTAACGGGTCCAAAGGTCAGCTGTTTGTTTGACCAAATATTAAAAATCAGTAATTTATATAGGAAATGGGGATAATACTCTTAAAATTATTGAAATTTTTCTATGAACTTTTTGGTAAATTGAAGCATTTATTTAGATTAAAATTCACATAGAGATATAGTGAATTCTTGTAGTTAGGAAGAATTGGATTTACTCAAGAAAGGTTTTCAATTATTTTACAAAAGTTCAATTGGATACACAATATGAATATGCCATGTACGATAAATCAACAAGGAATTAAGGTGAAATCGTAAGTCCTAGCCTTTTTTTTCCATCGTGTAATCCCAAAAATCAATGTGTCAACTAGTTAACCAATTATACCTTAATTTTTTAGAGTAGAAATTAGATCAGAAAACAACCATTACCTATTAGTTTTCCGTTTTGATTCAAATAAATTCTTAATTAAATTAGGTCAGTAATAAGGTCTTTGTAAGGATGATATTCCAGACAACCAGATCATTAGGTTTATTTTACTAATAGTTTGGCATAGCTAATAACCTACCTTGTTTACAGTTACAAGGGATTTGCAGAGTAGTTAAATGTTGGATTTTGTGCGCAATAATAAAGAGATAAAATAGAGAAATCAACACAAGAATTTACGTGGTTCAACAATGTGCCCACGTCCACGAAAGAGAAGCGGAGATAATTTTATTCAGTAGTGAAAAATAGGATTATAACATATTATTTATACTAACCCTAGCCTAAACCCATATAAGACTTTAAAGCCCGTACAAAATAATACCCATGTACCGTACCCCCCGCTCCATTTCGTTCGGTACACTACGTTTCCCTCACTCTACTCCACTTCGCTCCGACATTTGCCTATTTGATCCAGAGAACCTGTGTTCCACTCTATATGAGCTACATACACAACAATCTTCACCTTGGCGAATATTCACCCCTTAGGAGAAAACTTTAGAAAAAAATAACCTGGGAAACCACATCGTTTAGTACTAATGGGTTGGGACACATCCTCTCTAACACCTAGAGATGTTAATCAAGTTCAAGCAATGCTTGAACCTATCCATTGTGATTGGTTTTGTCATCATGTCTGCTACATTCTCTGAGGTATGCACATTCCCTAATTACAGTTCTCCTGAAGTAATCAACTCTCTTATCTTGTGAAATCTTACATCAATGTGCTTAGTTCTTGCATAATAAATCTGATTCTTCACTAAAAAGATGGCCACATACACAACATTTAAGAAGGTGGTGGTCTAAGCTATTGACATTATTATACTATAACCTTGTGTTACTCTTGAACTTTGCATCAACACGACAGGAAGACAATTATCATTTGGACACCAACCTAAAAATAGACTCTTGCACCAAGGACATCAAAGGACTTTAACAACTTGGGAAAACAAACATCTTCATTCACAAAATTTATCCAAGGAGAAAAGGCGTAATACAGGGACCTTACATTTAACTTGCATTGTACATTGATCTATTGAATGTGTTTCGGGATTTCGCCTTTCTTCAAGACGGAGAGAGAATACTCAGCAACATTAATAAGATCTTCAATGTTGTGAAGTGATCGCTCCTCGGAACCCAGCAAGAAAATGGCTCGAACTTTCGCTTTCTTGGCTAGACTGGTTGCCAAGTTGAGTGGTATATCAGGTGAATTCAGACTCCTCAGTGTTTGGCGATACAGTGAGAGGACCCAGCCTCTGTTTCTTGACAAATCCTCCGCCGTTGCCCATAACAAACCTTTTGCCATTTCTCCCTTACCTTGTCAAGCCAGAAGTATTGTACGGAATTATCTTCTTAAACCCTTTGCACAAGTATTGTTGTTTATAAAAGTTGAGTCTTGGTCCAATTGGGGATGGCATTTCACTTCTACATTTCCATGGGAGCTGTGCAATTACAAAATACGAGTTTGATAGAATACACTATACAGAATAATAATACAACAAAGAACAAATCCAACTTAAATAGTGTCTTCGAATTCATAATATCAATAGACAGGTAATGAACCAAAGCAGAAGCGGCCAGTAGTGCAGAATTCTATTAAAGCGATGTCATTTGGAAATTTCATAGAACACTTTATCCGCATTCTTGCTTCTTAATTGTTAGTATTTTTAAGGAGCTTCAAAATCCGGAATATTGAAGAATTGATAGTACTTTTCTAGTATTAGTTTTTCAATTCAACAAAACCCAGTATTAATGTTGTACCAAACCAATAGATGTAAGAATTTATACATATTGTTTGAACTTTGAACAAAAAAAACTGTATAAACATATCAGTAATAAGAACCTGAGTATTGAGGAGAAATTTTACCTGTTTTGCTAATCAGAAGATGATTTTATACAGTAAATAATACTTCTCTTTGAAGTAAAAATGCTATTCAAATTTGTCCACATCATATATGTACGGTTGACTCTGAGAGAGCCTAAACGCATTTTAACCCTCAGATTTTCGTGGCATTTTCCACGATTCGAATTCAATATCTCTAAGTTAAACCTCTCTCACTCCGCCAAGAAACAATACAGGTATAAAAAGTTAAAATATCACAAGAATATAAAATTCTTAAAAACACTTAACTGCGAGGAACAGGGCTGATTGCTGCCGTAGACTGCGATGGAGAGAGACTGTGAGTCGGAGAGCGAGATGGTCGTAGGCTAGGGTTCAAACGCGAGCTACAGACTTGTACCGGGTTCTTTTTGCGAGTTAATTGTTCCAATTTCACAAAATGTCCATTTTTAGCTAGTAATTTGCAAAAATGTTCATCATTACAAAAAGTCTAATTTAAAAGAATTTAAACCAAAATACATTTATTAACAATTTGTAATTCCACACTAAGACAAAAAATGAACTTTTTTAAAATATTATTATTGGCCAATAAATTTTGACACATAACTTGCCATATTTATTTCAAAAAGTATACATGTCAAATCACAATAAATGTTATGTTTTTCATTGATTCAGAAATATCGAGAACGACATTTTTAAATATAAAGAAATGTCTTAATCAAAATGAAATGTCATTATAGATAAATGAAACGGTGTTTAAATGTCGATAATGACATGTGAAATGTCGAAAAACATTATTTTAATATAGCTTCTTATGGAAGCCACTTCTCAAAATTTGTGACAAATTGATAAAAAAATCAAATGTCGAGAACGACATTTAAAATGTCGAGAATACCATTTCAAAATGTAGCTTTTCATTAAGGACATAATAGACAACTTAGCACTAAATTCAAATGAGTGGACAATTTTCAACTCATACCCTTAAAATTGGACATTTTTAAAAATGCCTATTGTTCCAATGGTCATTGAACTATGGTCTATATCTTTGATTGGTCACTGGAGTTTAAAATATTAAATTTTTGTCACTGAACTTAGATTAATATTTTCGATTGCTCACTGAATTTAGGTCAATGTTTTAGATTGCTCACTGAAATTTAAAATATCGAGTTTTGGCCACTGAACTTTAAAATATGTCGTACGTTACTCACCAAAATCACTGTTGAAGTTTGAAAAATATCGAGTTTATAGTGAGTAAAGTACAGTATTTTTCAAAATTCAGTGAGTAATGTACAATATTTTTCAAAGTTCAGTGAGTAATGTACAATATTTTTCAAAATTCAATGGTCAAAATTCGACATTTTGAATTTCAATAAGCAATCGAAAATATAGACCTAAATTCAGTGATCAAAACTCAATATTTCAAATTTCAGTGACCAATCAAAGACATGGACATAAGTTCAGTGACCATTGAAACAATTAACTCGATTTTTGCTCTGTATGAATGTACGTGTCTCAATATCTAAAACACATTTTTATCCAAAATCAATTTTCAATAACATATTATTTTAATAAAATAATTTGAATATAAATTTATATTTTTCCTCAATTTTCATTACACATTCTTAAATAAATAAATAAAATAATTCACTTTTACAAAATACTCCATCCGTCTCAATTATATAAGCTTGTTTCGTTTTTCACACGAATTTAAGAAATCTTCTTTAGTATCATTGGAAAATTAATTTTTGCAAATTTTTTTCCTAATTTAACCCCATTTAATTTTCAGTATGTAGTGGAATAGCAAAAAATTTGAGTGATTTAATTTGAAGAAGAAGAAAAAATGAGAGTTGTTTCATGTTCACAAAAAGTTAGAAATGTGTGTATTTGGATGATTTCAAGAAGTTGACATATTAAGTGGGGAAAATTGAATAAGGTTATATTGATAAATGAACAAAACAAAATATTATAAATTATAAGAAACGGACCTATATATTTGGAACAAGAAAAAAAGAAAACTCAGCATATATAATTGGGGCGAAGGAAGTATATTCTCAAAAAAATATCTATTAAACAAGAACTAAACATCCGTATACCCTTAACACGTTCAAGTCGATTTTGATTGCTCAACAAAGACTCATTTACACCTAAAGTAACCGACCCAAATATATCTCTCTCTCGTGAATGAGAAAGTTTTAAGGCTAAAGTGAATACAATTTGTATATCGGCTCCGCACAAAGTAAAATCGAATAGTGAGAATTCAATATTTGTGTTTCCTTGTACGTTTCTTTATTTGAATCCTGGTGATCATTAAAAAGTAAGTTGTATTTTCTCTACAAAAATGAGTTGTTCCAATGAGATTAAAGTGTAGTTTTGTCCTTAACTGAGTCGGTTTGATTTAATTTTGATTGGACCAATGAGATTCCATTTTTATATTTATTTGACATTTTCTGGTATCCATTATTTAAGGATCTAACTATCAATGTTTGGCAGTTTAAGTATCAATAACTCGCGGTAAAGAACTCGTCGAAGATATACGATAAAGTAGCCTACTATGATGACCTTGTTTAAGCTACCTGACTTTATATTACAGAGAACACAAATAAGACCTTGAAACAATTATAAGAAGCAGATTGGTTATAATCAGCGAGTCAACTGTAAACCAATTAACCAACCTGCAAAAGGCACTGTGCACCATAACCCGAGCTTCAGTCTCACCGAGAAGAAAATATCCACAAAGACAACGAATTTTGCACAAGAATTCGGAGACAGTAATAAGGGAAGCAAATTCAATTATTGCTAAAGCTTCCTTGTATCGCCTTTAGATAACCAACTTCTCCCATAAATCTTCTGTCCACTCAAGTAATGATCTCGGAACCTTGAATCACCCCCATCAAACCAGCATCATAACTCCACAATATCTGGTCTCATTTTACGAGTTGTCATGAAAATTAAAACAGTTTGCAGCTTTAAGGTGATTCGCTAGTTGTTTGATGTAAGGTTGCACAGTTTTGGAGAAGGAAGCAACGGAATTGGGAAGTTCTGGTATACAAACAAGTACATATTGATCGCCACTTTCTCATAAGTGAAGTAACGCAAGCACAGCACGGCAGAAAATGAATCTGGAAAGATTCCATCAAAGAATATGCTTATCAATTAGCTTAAGCTACATTATATGAATACCTGCAATACGAAGCGTTTATAGGGCTGCTATGGACTATACATTATCTATTCATCATCATTTCATTCAAAACTCATATAACCACATCACTAGATTCTTTATAAATTACATAAAAGTAAATCTATAACACATGAAGTGCAACCTTCTGCTCATTGTGCTTGATTTTTAAACTGAAAATATTAAAAGTTGCCAGGGGCATTCTTAGAATTCAGACACGAGTATATGATAACATTAATATGTAGCCAATTAAAGGATCAAATCTAATAGATCCAAAATCAAGAAGTTCTGTTGACATTGTCAGTATTTTTTTTACTTTAAAGAGAAAGAAGCCGTGATATGATCCAGGAGTTGAGCCCGACGAAAGCGAGTGCGAGACGAGACCCGTTGATAGTCGATGACGGACCAATGACGCAATCAAAGGCAAAGCAAGTGAAACAAGCGATGTGATTGCTTGTTCAAGAAACCATTAATGGAACCATGTTCGGGACTCAAAATTGAGCAACTTTCATGTTCGGGTCGAAGGTCGAATCAACTTGGATCAATTTGTTATCAAGCGACAAAGTCAGAGGCTGAAAACAAGCATGTGCGACCACACAGGCAAAAACACCATGCGACCGCATGGAGGCATACCGAAACTCAAGATGAGATTTTTTGTTGAACCATGCGACCACATAGAAATACACTATGAGGTCGCATAGACCATTTTTTTTTTTTGCGAATTTCCTATTTTTGATATTTTTCCATATTTTGTTAAATTCTGATTCTTTTTCATTCCTAATTATTCTAGGTCGACTTTTGTACGATTTTTACCTAGTTTTTAGGTTTAGTATAAATAGGAGTTTTCATTCAATTATTAAAAACCTTTGACACTTTGATATTGAATTAAAAGTGAGGCGTATTGTCTTCTCTTCATCGTTTTTCATTGAACAACTTCGAACTTATCAAGTGTTAACTTATGGCGTTCAAACAATCGGATTTAATTCTTGGATTGCGTGATCAAGGGGTCTTTCAAGCGTCGTTCTTGTTGAGTTTTTTGGTTCAACTTTCTTTTGGGTTAATCCTAAACTCTTGGATTAATTTGGCTTTCTTGAATTTGTCAATCTTGTTGTGGGTTTCATAGTTAACGTTGCTATGGGGTTCGCATCAGTTGGTATCAGAGTTTTGGCTCTAAATTAATTGAAAGTTATATCTTTTCTTTATTTGTTTGAGTCGTTAATTTTGTTTTCTTAGTTCTTCTTCGTTCTTGTTTTTCTTTTCGTCGTTTCATTGAGTTATTGATAGTTTAGTCATCTTCTTTCATCAAGGAGTTAAAAAAAAGAGTTACTGTACATTCAAGGTACTGTTCATCTCGAAGTACTGTTCACAAACAAACAAAAATAAAAAAATAAATTTGATATTATTATTGTTTGATTTTATTTTTTTTCTACCAACAACGATTCCTACATTGTGTTTGATTTTGAGATATTCAATTGGGTTCAATTCATTCAATCTTCTATTGAGTCTATTCACATAGTCTTGTCAAAACATTCATTTATTCCACTTATTCAAGTCCTTTGAGTCTCGTGGTCTTCGATTAATATTCGTTTTGTTTGAATTCCCGGTAAAACAATTGATTTAGTTCACTTGGTTCTTTGAAATGCTTGGAGGGAGACTTTGAGTGATAAAAGGCCGAGTGGTGAGTTTAATAGAGGGAAAAAGTCATAGTGGGTGTTTTTCGAGTGAAATCTTTGTGAGGTATAAAAAAAATTGTGCGATATGATGTTGGAAAGAGAAGGTTATAATTAAAGCCGAAACGGTAATGACAACAATGCATCGGAGGACATGATAAGGAGGTTTGAAAGGGTACTTGGCGATGTCGGGAGAAGGTGGATAGGAAAGGGGAATGGATGGTGCAAATAGGTACTACAATTGCTAATCTTAGCCGGGGACAAGTGGAGATGTCTAATGCTAGGAGGCCGGTAGGTGTGAACCTAGGAGAGGAAGGCGGGATGAGTATCGTAGTGATGAGGATAATTTTGATGAAAATGACATTGATATGGGTCGAGCGAGGCATAGGGACAATAAGATGGAAAGACGGGGTAGAAATAACTTGGGAGATGAAG